CATTTAGCCGACGCCTTTTATCCAAAGCGACGTACTACTAGTGCATTCAACCATAGGGTACAATCACGGTTTATTACAGTTTATGGACGGGCTCATTCAGCAATTACACACCTAGTGTTAGAACTAGGACGCTTGAGATTTGTCACAACTGATAACTTAATTGAAAGTAAATGAATCGCTGACTGTCCAGTATGGCGCACGGTTTGGTCACATTTGGTCCAAATTGAAACAATAAAATGTTTTTCTGATTTATACAATGTCTGGTTTTTAAATAAGCACATGCTTGTTGCCTAATATACTTGTGAGTGTTTACTTTGCACAGAAATACTGATAAATCATCATATCTAATTGGTAGATATGAGGTCACTATCGTCATGCATGTGTAATACATTATTTTACCACTAATGATTTACTTATAAGCATAAAGCCGCCTTGCTATTCTCCAAATTGGTTATCTTTTTTTTATATAGTGTAAAAATTGCTGATCTTTTTATTGTCTTGTCACACAGGGAGGAGACGGAGGAATATCAATAGGGCCATTAAGGAGGACACATAATCATTCTAAGGACATCTAATAATTGATCAATGATATAATAGAACATAAATGATGACGCTGTTTTATTTAGAGACAGAAAAGTCTCTGCTGACCTTTGACCTTCCGTCCTCTCAGCGTTGAGAAGAAGGAGCGAGCGAGATTAAAGACGGTGAAGTTCAACGCAAAGTCTGGAGAGCGAGGGGTGAGTACTGCTCCATGTATACACGCGGCCTACTCCCATGATGCAGTGCGTGGCCGAGCTGGTTATTCCTCTCTGATTGGCTCAGTCTGACCCACTGTGTGCGTTCACTACTCGTGTGTGTAAGTCGGACACATTTTAAAATAGCAGTTTGTGTGTTTGGTTAAAAACTAAAGCGGGAAGTAGTTTGTTTCCTTCTGAGAATCTAAAGGATTTTCTGCACAAATGTCGAGAAAAGGAATAACCAGACGCCCCAATGCATGCTGGGAGTAGAAGCCCTTTCTGAGCACCTCATTGGCCGGATCTTTGTGTGTGAAGATGAAGCCGCTAACAGCATGTTGGCAGCGAGCCGCCGCCACCGCAGCTCTAAAGCCACGCCCCCCCCACCTCGGCGCCGCCCTCTAACACGGCCGACTGACGGACAAAGAGCGCATGCAGGTCCCGCCCCCCCACTGAGAAACGCTTGACATTGACCGTCTGCTTCTTCTCCGTCACCTCAGAGCAGCGTGATGGTTTCTGTTTGTGTCCTCTGCATGTCCTCCTCGTCCTCCCCGTCCTCCTCGTCCTCCTCGTCCTCTGCTGCCTTCACTGTCACCGCGTTAAACTCCGTCTCTACATCTTGTCGCTGAGAACCAACGCGTGTCAGTAAACATGGAGGTCGTGTTTGTACGTTTTCTTTTCTTTTCAGTTTCTAAATGTTTGGTTTCAGCTTTTATTTTGAATCATATTTCGCTGCTCGTCACCGACTCGCGTCTCATTCTGTTCAAACCGACATCAGACCTCCTCCTCCTCCTCTTTTTGTTTTGTTGCTCCATCACCCCTCCTCCTCTTCCTCCTCCTCTTCCTCCTCAGCAGTCTCTCAATGACAAGCGTAGAAAGAACCTCTTTACCCGAAAGTTTCCCTTCTACAAGAGCAAAGAGGCGAGCGAGCAGGAGACCAGCGACCTCGACCGTAAGTACCCCAGAGCGGCGTCCAGATGGGGGGGCGACAGGAAGAGAGGTCAGCTGGTGGCGGCGGTGCGCTGCGAACGCATTGGTCGTCACGGCAACGGGAGCTTGGCTAAAACCAATGAGGCACCCGAAAAAACACACAATGCTCCTTCGTCATCAGGAGACGTGGCAGAACATTTGGTCCCACTACAAACCCCCCTCCTCCTGGGAGGAGCCAAGATGGCCCCGCCCCCAAGCCCCCCAGCCCTGCCGACCGGCCGCGTTCCCTCTGCTCCGTCGCTGTAACTCTGTAACTTGTTGTGTTGTTTCTCCTGTTTGTTCACTCGGCTCCGCTGACCTCAGGACAACAAGGAGGACACGCTGTCCAGAGGCCACAGTAAGTGTCCCCGCCCCCGTCCCCCCGATGTCCCATCAGCCACCTGGTCTCCAGCAGGACCCTCTTCAGCCAATCGAGACGATGATCAACATGAACGAACGAATGAATGAACGAATACAGAAGTTCTGAAAATATTCACTAACTTTGAGTTTTGTCTTTTTATAAAAACTATAAATTCCTCTCGATGATTTCAGATGAAACGATGAAGCTTCAAGTGAAATAATTCAGAAGCGTAAATTCTAGAGACACACACACACATATATATATATATATATATAAATATATATATGTGTGTGTGTATATAAAATGTATGTGTGTGTGTGTGTGCGTCACAACCTCCAGTTGCAAAGCATTGTGGGAATTACTGACTGACCCCCCGGCGTGTCCTGTGTTTCTTGTTTGCAGAACACGTGACGTCCAACGCCAGCGACAGCGAGAGTAGCTGCCGTAAGTGAGACGCCGCCCGATAACAGCATGAACACACACACGGACACACACACAGACACACACAGAGACACATACACACACACACACACACACACACACACACACACACTCAGTGAACCCAAACGCCGCTCTGTTTTCTACGTAAATCGTATTTACCTCTGAGATGAAGCATCGTGTAAAGTACAAAGTAACTCTATATATTATTATTATTATTATATTTATTATTATAAATATATTATTAATATTATTATTATATTTATTACTATAATATATAATCATTATAACAATAATAATAATATTATTATTATATTTATTATTATAAATATAAAATTATATTATTATTAAATGTATTATAATATATAATCATTATAATAATAATAATAATTATAATTATAATTATTTATAATAAAAGAACAGAAGTAAATATGAACGTTTACTTTCCACAGCTGCTCTTTTGTCAGGATCTTTATTTTCAACCTCTCGTCTTTGTGTTTAATGAAATCAGCAGAAATGAATCTGAATATTCAGATGAGCTCAGTATGAAGTCCTGACCTCTGACCTTTGTGTCTCAGGCGGGCCGGAGGAGCTGGTTCTGTCCTACGAACCCGTCGCTCAGCAGGAAGGTGAGAGACGTCCTCGCGTCCATAAGAAGCAACAAACAGCTTCGAGTCGTCGTCACACGATGAGCACCTTTAAACAGGAAGTGCCTCTGATCACTTCCTGTTCTCCCTCTCAGTGAGCTACACCCGTCCCGTCATCGTCCTCGGCCCCATGAAGGACCGGATCAACGACGACCTCATCTCGGAGTTCCCCGACAAGTTTGGATCCTGCGTCCCTCGTGAGTCCACGCGGACGAGACCGGCCGGCCGGCAGCGGGACGCGTCCTGACGAACCTGTCTCCTCCCCTCAGATACGACGCGGCCCAAGCGCGACTACGAGGTGGACGCCAGAGACTACCACTTCGTGGTGTCCCGAGAGCAGATGGAGAAGGACATCCAGGACCACCGGTTCATCGAGGCGGGGCAGTACAACGGCCACCTGTACGGGACCAGCGTGCAGTCGGTCCGGGAGGTGGCTGAGAAGGTACCCGGGAGAACCAGAACCCTGAGACCATGAGATCACATCACACCTGCACATGTGGATCCGAATGGTCTCTTCTTCTGTGGTGTCGCAGGGGAAGCACTGCATCCTGGACGTGTCGGGGAACGCCATCAAGCGGCTGCAGCTGGCGCAGCTTCACCCCGTCGCCGTGTTCATCAAGCCCAAGTCCGTGGAGAACATCATGTGAGTCCCCGTGTTCTTCCTCCTCCTCCTCCTCCTCCTCCTCCTGCCCAGCGGCTTTCAGCAGGTGTTTCCTCCCACAGGGAGATGAACAAGCGGCTGACGGAGGAGCAGGGCAGGAAGACCTTGGACCGAGCCGCCAAGCTGGAGCAGGAGTTCACCGAGCACTTCACAGGTGAGGAGGCCACGCCCCTAAACGCGGAATCATGACGCGTTATTAGAAACAATGACGTGTTTATGAAAATATGTTGTTCTCATTTTGGCCACAAAATGGGGTCAAAACGTTTCGACACCAAACAGGATCTGAGCTCTTTGTGCCTCCTTCTCTCTCAGCCGTCGTCCAGGGCGACACTCTGGAGGAGATCTACGAGCAGGTGAAGCAGATCATCGAGGAGCAGTCTGGTCCGTTCATCTGGGTTCAGTCCAAGGAGAAGTTATGAGGACCAAACTCCTCAGATCCAGAGGCTTTTATTTTGAAAAGCACCCCCCCACCTCCTTCTGATTAACGGCACGACACACAGACTACCTGACTTTTATTTTGAAGTTGTTTGGAAGTATGATGACATCACACGCAGCGCGGCGCCTTAATGTTTAAGGGAGGAGGAGGAGGAGGAGCAGGAGGAGGAGCAGCAGCAGCAGCAGGAGGAGGAGGAGGAGGAGGAGGAGCAGCAGCAGCAGCAGCAGGAGGAGGAGCAGGAGGAGGAGCAGCAGCAGCAGGAGGAGGAGCAGCAGCAGCAGGAGGAGGAG